GGATTACAGGTGTGAGCCACCGTGCCTGGCCAGGCCTCAGCATTTAAGAAAAAACTTGAAGATTTCACATAACTATCCAGGTTCCTAAGCTTCCTTGAATGAGCATGCAATTGACAACATGGGGCCTATACTCTAGCATAGTGGCTTCTGGCTGGAGCTCCCTTAGAGGCTCAGTGTGGTCCCCTGTTGTCGTTCACTGCGTTCATTTGAGTTTGTGACCCTGATGTAGCCTATCCCCCAACTATATACATAGAAAACCCAAGGCCCAGAGGGTAGAGCCCTTTCCCAAGGCCACCCTGGGAGTCCCTGGGGCAAAGCTGGTGCTCTTTTACCAACATATTGCTGCCTCTTTTTGCAAATAATAGAAGGGAGCCTGAGAGAAGGGAAGCGTCTCTGTTGAGTCCCAAAGGAATGTCTCAATACTCTCCTCTGAGGGAAAGGACATGGCAGTGATTCTCAAGCAGAAGCTTCGGCTCCCTGGAGCTCTGCTCCTGGCTTCTGGCCTTGGTGGACCAAAGCTCTCACCTCCTCTGACGTCCTCCCTAAGCTGGGGGAGAAAGGGAGAACCTTGTCCAGTCTCAGGAATCTTGCTGTGCTATCTTCCTAGTGACGGAAAATGTTTATGCATTCACTATCTGTGTAGTGTACACTTCCGGGAGGGACACAGTGCAGATGGACTCCCAAATCTACTGATTTCCTGCTCCTCGTCAGCCCCCTGTGCTAGCCTTGGGGGATGGGGTGGGGAACGAGGCAGTCCCAGAGCCTGTCCCCCCAGAGAGCAAGGCTGGAGCGTGGGCCTCTCATAGAGTCATTTTACCTCTCAGGAAACTCCCCCAGCCTCTGTGGATCTTTCCTACCTTGGGAAGAAACACACACAGGTTTGGACGTGACTAGAATGTGGAAGGGTCTTTTTTTTTTTTTTTTTGAGACGGAGTCTCTGCCGCCCGGGCTGGAGTGCAGTGGCCGGATCTCAGCTCACTGCAAGCTCCGCCTCCCGGGTTCACGCCATTCTCCTGCCTCAGCCTCCCGAGTAGTTGGGACTACAGGCGCCCGCCACCTCGCCCGGCTAGTTTTTTGTATTTTTTAGTAGAGGTAGGGTTTCACCGTGTTAGCCAGGATGGTCTCGATCTCCTGACCTCGTGATCCGCCCGCCTCAGCCTCCCAAAGTGCTGGGATTACAGGCTTGAGCCACCGCGCCCGGCCCTGACTGCTTTTCAAGGGTGGGCTCTAGGCTGGACCCTCACAACACCCCTCGAGGTGTGGGCTGTCACTACTCCCATCTGCAAGATAATTGAGGTTCAGCCTGACTAAATGGCCCAGCCATCCAAGGTCACAAAGTTAATAAGAAGCTGTGCAGCCAAGGATTCTGACCAGATTAGTTTGACCCAGAGACTAAAGTGTTAACCATTATGCTTTACTCCCTCCAGCATCCACTCTGGCCTCCTCTGAGGCTGCAGGGTGAAAGAGGGGGCGCTCTACGGCACACTCAGGTTCTTTGAGTTGCTGGATTATCCCTTAAGACTCTTTTCATTTTAAATATCAGCAAGGCTGGGACAGTGGCTCACACCTGTAGTCCCAGCACTTTGGGAGGCCGAGGCAGGCGGACCACCTGAGGTCGGGAGTTCGAGACCAGCCTGACCAACATGGAGAAACCCTGTCTCTACTAAAAATACAAAATTAGCGCGTGGTGGCACATGCCTACAATCCCAGCTACTAGGGAGGCTGAGGCAGGAGAATCGCTTGAACCTGGGAGGCAGAGGTTGCGGTGAGCCAAGATCGCACCACTGCACTCCAACCTGGGCAACAAGCGCAAAACTGTCTCAAAAAATAAAAATAAAAATAAAAAATAAGTATCAGCAAAACTAGAACTAGGAGAGCTTTGATTTTTATTTTAAATCTGAATCAACTGAAAAATCAAATCTGCTTTTCACACCGTGGCTCTTCACGCCCAAGTAGCTGTCTGCTGTGGGGACTGTTCGCCCTCCCCATGTCTGTTTCCTCTGTCACTGCTGCTGCACTGTAACAGCTAGGCCATCAGCAATATCAGGAGGTAGAGAGGCAGAAGGAGATTGTCTATCTGTGTAGTGTATGCTTCCAGGAGGGACACAGTGCTGATGGACCCCAAAATCCAAGCGTAACTGTAGTTTAGGTCCACTCCACTGTCAAAGATTAAGATCAGAGCTACGGAAATGATCTGCGCAAATATAGATGTCATGGTCCCCTCAAAAGTCTTTTTGGTTCCAGGCCAGCGGATCTCCCCCATGGTGCTACCAAAGATGGAGGCCACAGTATCACCCACACCCACAGCCAGGACACCAGCATAGGGGACGAGGGCCCTGGCTCCCCCCAGGCTACCCTTCTGTGTGCAGGGTCTGGGGATCAGCCAGATGGGAAGAGACATGCCCAGGAGCAGGTAGATGTGTGTCAGAATGAGTGGTCCACTGTCTCGTTCATCCAGAAAAAGGGACAGGAGGCTCCGTAGAGTGTGACCCAAGGGCTTGATGCGGAAGTAGCGCACATACTCCAGGAAGATGAAGACCGCCAGACATACAGTGGCAGCTACATAGAGCAGTGGCCGGTCAAAGATGATACCTGGGATGTAGGTGGCTACCACAATGAGGTGGAAATACTTTCGGGCGATGGTGGGGGCCTGGTGCTTCTTGGACTCGGAAGATGACCGCTTGGCATTCTGGTACAGCACCACCAGGCAGGCCAAGGTGGCCAGCAGAGACCAATAGGCTAGGAGGTAGATACGGGTGTCTGTCTGGAAAAGGAACTGCAGAAGCCAGAGCAGGGGGTTCCTGCGGATGAGCCGGTGCAGCCAGGGTAGGACCACACCAAGGCTCAGCACACAGGTCATGAGGTGGAAGAAGATGGAGGAGGCCCAGGTGCCTGAGTCCATGAAGACAAAGAGAGTGCTGAAAAAGATGCCCATGAGTACCATCCCTACTACCACCACCAGCAGGAAGAAGTCCACTGGGTCCCCCTGACTTTCCACCAGTGTCAGAGAGCGCTTGATGAGCTGGTTGAGGACAAAGCTAATGCCACCCAGTACCAGCAGTGCCTCACCAGGGGTGAAGCAGCGGGGCAGCAGGTACAGCAGGATCATGTTGAGATAAACGAAGATCAGCAGGACTTCCAGGACTTCGATCACCTCCCCCACGCTCAGCGAGTGCTTCATGATATAAATGATAACACCTCCAGCCAAGCCCAAGATGACACAAGTGTTGGTTGGCACTGGGCGAGTGATACCGAGCGCCAACACTGATGAGAAGAGGGCCACTGCCATGCCAGTGGCTGCCACCACAATGCCAAAACGCTCAAAGAACGGGTTCCCAGCAGCCTGGCACCGTTCCTTCATGACTAGTCCAAGTAAAGGCATGACCATGGAGGCGGGCAGTAGGCCACTGTTTGCGGACATTCGGAACTGGAAGACGGCGCTTCCCTGCTGTAGCAGCCGGTCCCACTTGTATTGGACGTAGAAGGCCTGCACTGCGAGGGCCACGGCGCACCACGAGTATCGGTCCCATACAGTTGCATGGATGCTCAGCACCACTGCAAACACTACTGCCGCCTCTGCCAGCACCGATCCACTCAGCGGAGCGCCAGGCCCCGGGGCCGGCGATGGGCACTCTCGGGTCATGTCTCTAGACCTGGGGCTTCACAGAGGCCGGGGT